TGTCAAATTATAATAAGGTGGAGGCTTAAAATAAGCCAAGTTCTCTTCCTGTAATATTATTTATCTCTGTTAAGTTTGAGTATTTTTTAAATTGTGCAAAATAAACTAAACTAAAAAACTAAACAAAACATTGTTTATCATTTCGGTGGTGTAGGCTCTCTTCACCTTAACCTTGATTTTGGCTGAACAAAATGATCTCATCCAGTGGTCTACAACTTTAATCGTCAACGAGTCAGACGTAATGTGTTCCAACGCACGCAACACTCATGGTGTTACTTACTTCCTACATGCTCCTACTACTTCACAATAGTATTGGAAAAGAGTAAATAAAAACTAAATCATTGTCCGTTGTTTGGGTGATACCGAAGAATATTGACTGGGTTTTGTAAACATATCTTATTTAGGAAAAACTGCACAATTTCTTGGGTTTTGAACAAATGCAGATTAACTTCAAACTAGATACTTTCCTTTAGATACAAATACATTTTTTTGTATTGCTAATATCACAGATTCAATTATACTACATTTTTGGCAGCTTTTTACAGTGTTCACAAAATAAATAAATAAGAATATAAAATAGTAAAAAAGTAAATATTGATATATTACCATTTGGTCTGTTGGTACAATACTCAGATTTAATGGTATTATTAGCAGTTGCATTTGCAGTTACTTTAAATTTAGCTACAGCACACATGTAGGATTTATATTGACTTTGATGCCATCCGATGGTCGTTTTGTGATTTATTTTGGTTTATCTGAATAAAATTGACTTTACTTAACATGAAACAATATTGCTCTAACATATTGGTATGAATGGGTTGCTTCTTCCAATTTGTGATATTTACAAATTGGTAAACACTGATCACAGTGATCATTTATCCTCCTTAAGTGAATTGTCATCATCCGAGGTTTAGGGTAACGCTCTAATCCCTGACATCCAGTAAACTAGCTCACATATGACACTTTCAAATCCAAAGATGACCTTTCACCCTTTGAACCATGAAACCTTTGAGGGTTGGGAGGGGAACCCTGGAGAAGTGCGCTGTCTGGCTGCTGGTGACTGCTTCACAGCAGGTGTTCAAGCTCTCAAACTTCTCCAGTTCCCACTCAGAAGCTGCAGAAGGCTCAGGAGTCGATAGAGAGTCACCAGCATTGCTAGCATGATCAGCAGGAAACACAAACATATCATACTAGGATTATGCATATTCAACAAGTCTGTGTTCACAATATATTACAAAATCAAGAGAAAGCCATCATAATAAAAATGTTTTTCTACTTGTTGTAAGGAAGCAACAATAATGAATCAACTATATATATATATATTCAGATATATTTTAGCTTGTTCCAAATCCTCTTTGAAGCTATGATGTTTACATCGAGTGAAATCTTCAAACTGAAGATAAACTCATGATTTGTATGGCTACACCATTTCATCAAATGGAAATATTATCCACGTTCGTGTGTCATGTTAGAATTAAAAATAGAGTTTTGTGGGTTTGAACAGACCGGTGATTCATTTACAGATTTTGTTTTCCTTATTTAAAAAGATCTTTAGATGGCTTTTACTTTCTAGGAGACAGGGTTGTGTATTCCATCTCCTACTTTAACATTTACAGTTTCCATTTTGTGATTCATTTAATTTAAAGAGGTCTGGTCAGCTAACTTTTTTAGAATTAAACACCGTACAAGTCCAGCCTCCACACATGCAGTTTATCAAACACTTTCAAGCAGCCCACGTAGGCCCACGTCTGCTCTGCGAGTGGATAGACAACTGTCTGACCAACACTTGTCAAACTCTGAAAATCTGTCACTCTAAAATCAACACTTGTTAACGCTGGAAGATTTGCTGTGTTCAACCTATCCTTCACACTCAAACAGTTACTTTTAGAGCAGGTACGTATTGTGTATTCTGTACCAACACCAGATGTGTTTCAGTGTGGAAGCGAGGCTTGAAATGGTCTTCACACGGACGGTTCGTGGCGTTGATAAATGGTGCTCATGATTTAACACCTGCTGTTTTAATGTAGCCACTGTAAGAAACTGATCTCAACATGCTTGCGTGACTGAGTGGTGTCCCCATTTTAAATAGCTGCCTAAATTTATCAGCTTTGTGGAGGTCAGTTCAAGCTGCATGCATGTGTTCATGTTTTGGCACAGGATTTGAAAATCAGATCTTTAATAGCTCTGAATTTGAGGACATACAGACTACACAAGCACTGTTTTACCACATGAGATTCATTATGAAAGTATATCCACTTTTATTATGTATAAAAGGTAGTACAATAATGACATGGTATTTGTGAAATTAGTTTATTTTAATTTGTTTTGTCAATATTAAAATTCCAACATTCGACTAAGAAGATTAACTGTAAACTGAATAAAAGATATATCAGTAATCAAGCACTGTGTGATTTAATAGCATTTATAGGTGTAATTTGTTGATGTGACACGTAAGCTTGAGTCATGACCTTTGCTGTTTGTCTTTGCAAAGCAGCAGAGGCACACATAAAGTCATGACAAATAAATTACCAATACACTCATGTAAAAATACTCTGTCACAAGTAAATGTCCTGGATTGAACTTGCATTTAATAAGTAAAGTATTCTTAGCTAAATGTACTAAAAATATCAACATAAAGGTCCTTTTCCCAGTGAGTGATGTATTGTTATTACTGATGCATCAATATTTAAGCAGCATTTTACTGTTGTAACTAGTTTTAACATCATATACAGTTGAGTATTTTAGTCCAGCGGTTCCCGATCTATGAGTTGAGCCCCTCCAAAGAGTCACAAGATGCCTCTGAGAAGTCAAGTGATGATCAATGGGAGAGGAAAGAAGGAAAAAAAGCTCTACTACACAAATTCATCTTTTAAAAAAAAGAACTTTTCTTTATACATTGTTTAAAGGGGCCCAGAGAAGACACTGCCTTTTTGCGAAATTATGTGTATTATTTTATAAGAGTATCATGTAAAAATGTAAAATCTCAAGTAAGAAGTAAAAAGTACAATATTTCTCTCTGAAAAGTGGAGTAACCCTAAGTATATTATAAGATCAAAATACTCAAGTAAAGCAAAAGTGCCTCAATTGTACTTTAAGTTGAGTAAATGTACAGAAAATTATTACTATTATTACTATTATTGCACCACATTAATGACACTCTGGGTAAAAGTGTGATTTGACGGTGACAAAGGCTTTACACTAGTGGCCTCTGCCCTTGATATTGCTGTCAATGTACCCTCCATGGAGCAACTGTTGGCCCAACCCCTCCTTGCTGCATACCACCAATCTGGGGCCCTGTCCAGAAACAACACTTGTGTCTTCAACACTTAGACAGAGCCATAATGACTAGATCATTACTGTGAGAGATTACATTATTCAGCTTTGTCCCCGACAGCGACATGAACTGAAATTATTATCAAACACCTTTCATCCACTTTTTGTCTGTAAGTCCTGCGTGACCCAGTGGTGGGAGTGGGAAAATGTTCTCAACAGATTAGACATGAATCTCATACATTTACACATGGCTGCATGAACTTGTAGTAAATTCTTTTAGCTGACTGGCACCAGCTGGCGGGGAATATTTTGCTCCATCAAGACAAGGCAGCTGTTCAGTGAGAGGGCAGAGCACCGATGGAGTTCTCGGCTTCACAAATATTATTAGTGCCAATATAAAGTAGCTTAGTGCATTTTCCATACAATATTTATTCCAGCGTTCTCTGCACACCCAGACATCACTGGATCACAATACAGTAACAATTTGACCTCTGTGTATATATTCCTGCACATACAAACTTGGCACCATGTAAATATATGCTGAGAACAGGAGTGGAATGTGTTCAGTCAACATGATCTTCAAGAGAAGATCGGTAGAATGCACACTTGATAAAAGTAATCAACTGGGGGAAGCTTCACGGTTGACATCTTCATTCACCTGTGGTGTCTTGCAAAATGTAGATAATTTTACCTTTAAAGACTGTTTTCTCAAGATTAGTTTTTTCTCAACTTCACCAGGATTTACACACACCAAGCTTTATCTATAGTCAGAAGATTTCTACATGAGGAGTTGGTTCATATATTATCCATAGCCTGATTTATAGAACATCTTAAAAACATGGCGACAATGGACTTTTTTATGGCTGTTTACAGTATTTTCTGATTTATTTTACAATAAAAAGACATTCAAAATTCCCTCTGTAAAAACCTTTGACTCTAATACGTCAACAAAATGAAACAAATATTTTGAACCTTGACTTTATCCAAGATTTATGTTCTGGGAATGTATATACATTTGCACATATTTGATAACATAATAATCATAATTCATCAGAAAAAATCACTTAATGTAAGTGATCAACTGGGAAAGTTCCATGACGATATCTATTAATTAAATGTTTTAACCTATTCACCTGCTGTCTCCCCTTAAGTCATATGAGGGACAGCTGTTTTGTGCTATAAACATTTCTGTAAAGTTTTGACAAATGCAACAATGTCTCAGAAAAATAGCTTGAGCATTTTTGAGAAACTGGTAGAGAGGAGCTGTTCTTCCTGGAAAGGTGCTGAATCTTGGCACTTTTTGGAGGTTAGTTTCATGAGGCCTCGTGCTTCATGTACAAAGTTCGAAAATGTCTAATTGTAAACGTTTTTAAATGGTACACAGCCTCCCAACACTGAGATTCACTTCAGAGAGAGAAATCATCGTGGGATTTTCCTTGGGACCCCCCCTATCTCTCTCTCTCTCTCTCTCTCTCTCTCTCTCTCTCTC